TAATTTGTAATGTTTTCGTGACTAGTGATGAATACTTAATACTTCATGGGACGGTATGGCAGGATTCTAAAACTTAATCGTTCTTACACTCGAGTCCTAAAACTTTTGTTCTGTACGTTTAACTCCTAAAACTTGTCACCATCCTATGCATTAATGTTTTCGCCAACTCCATTAGCTTTTACCGAACGGAAGATTCAAAGGGGTTTACCAATTTTTTTTGTCTACGCGGCGGTCAATAAGCCAACGAAACTTGTTAAAATCATGCAAATTGGGATAAAGTCGGACTTTTCTTAATTCTGGTGCAAAAGCTGAACGAATGCCACAAACGAAATAATATTTCTTTGAGATTGGGGAGCGATTTGGAGATTCAAACTCATTCCAAACCGCATCGGAGTAACTTTTAGCCAACTTGGCCAACTAGTTATGTAGATCAAATATGTTTGTGACTCAACAGTTAACAGAATGTGCAAAATCATGTAATCACTTTTTCTTTCTGGCAAAAACAAACGAGCAATCTTAAAAGTAGATGGAAAATGCTGAGAAAAAAAAGTGATAATATTCATTGTTGGATTTTGTAATCGAATAAGTCATAACTGTGGAGAAAGGTTCGTTAATCTCTACTTCTTTGGAGTCAAATTTTAGTTTGTATCTATATAATTTAGGCATATAATGCTTAACCCTTTTTTTTCCTAATCTAGTTCAGATGGATAGTTCGTATTGAAAGCAACTTCACTATTGAAAATAATGGTGATGATAAAGACGAGATGATCAATGCGACCAAAGATGCTACTGATGAAAGTGTCACGACACCATAGAGCATGAGAGTTTTTTTCATCTATTAAATTTAAAAAATTTATGTAATGACATTAACGATTTCTTTTCGGTAAGTGATAATATTTTTCTACTTGTAATTATTTATATTTGGGTATTTAATTTATTTTTTATTTCTACATATTCAAGAAAATTGATTCCGCGGGCCCTCTTACGATTTTCTCTCTCAATTTGAGCTTCTGATATGAAAAGATAAAAGTAAAAAATAAAAAGAAAAGGAAAAGGAAACGTACGGTAAAATATCTAAGCCGGTTGAGGAAGTTGACCGGTTTCCTCAAAACATGTTTGTGGCTTACCTTTGAACGTCAGATCGTCACTTTGTGAAGGACGGTTATGCTGGCCACTCCCAAAGTAGATAAATCAGACCGTTCACTATGATAGTTTGAATTTAACTGAGTCACGTGATCGTTAGTTTGTATGCACTTGACTAATATCTAGACTTGAAAATAATCGACCCGACCACTGAAGTCACTTCCAAAATTCTGGTGACGTATATGCAAAATTGCAAAGGTGTAGAGAAATATCCAACGATGTTGCCAACGATGCTAGGAGAGAGAGAGGATTGTAAATGAGTTTTACGTATAATAATTTATATAGGAGTCTTGCGAAGTTAAAACATAAGAAATCTCAATTAAATTGAGTTTGAAGTATGAAGTAAAAAAGCAAAGATATGTTATTTTAGAATATCAGGCGACAATATAAATGCAATGCAGCCATAAGGACTCTGATTGTACTTATAAATTTAGTAGTTAATTAAGATTTGTGGTGGACAGTTGATAAATAGACATGGAAACTATACTTATAATGGAATGAAAATTTCGGGTTCCATAAGAACTCATGTTTGGTCTGAGTGAAAGTAAAAATTTAAGCAAAATATAAAGTTTTCATATTTACTATAATACAATGCAAAAATTTCCTTTTACTTTTAAGGATTTGGATCTTTTTTATACCCAAATAGTTCAAATTACTTATTTTCCAAATTTCATATCCGTGGATTAATGGGAAGTTTACAATACTGTTCTATCTCTCACGTGTTTGAATATTAACATTTGAATGATTTCTATCGTATGATAACATTCACTTGCAATTTCAGATCTTGAAATACTTTATCTTTCTTCATACACTTAATCTTTGGATTTTGTAGTTTCGCCAATAATCCAATTTTTTGTTTTAATGATTCGAGTATGTCATAATGCAGTGGTTTTGTTCAAAATTTCAAATGACAATTTCTGACACATGCAACATTCGTGAGCATTTGCTAGTACACTTGAGCAAAAGTGAAATTTCGCATTAAAAGTTAGAGAAATGAAATGATTAGAAACATCCAAGTTATATCAATTTTTTGGGGGCATAAGTCATATCACTTATTTAACATGCCAGGAGATTGATAAGCCGTACCCTCCTGAGAACAATTCTAAATTATTTATATGGAGCATAGTCTCGATATTTGTCACTTGCTAGAACAATTGGGACAAAGAACAAGTATAAAAAGAAGAGTCGTGATAGAGGAGCCAATTAAACTAAATGCTCCACCGACCCAAAGAAGAAAACAAGCTAAGTATTAGGAAAATTGGGAAATCGACCGAAGTGGAAACGGGAAAGTGCCGGATAGACAAATATTTTGACTTTTAAAATAAGCACGAAACTGAAGAATTACTAGACGGCATATCGAGAGGGATACTTACAAATTTCAATGGTATTTCAGGATATTATATTTTTAAATCGATCTAAAAATTTATCAATGAAAGTGTACTTGTTGAATATAATTGTGCAAGGAATACTTGAAACAAAGCTGGTGTAAATTTTTGAATGTATATTCTCGTATTTAATAGATGAAAACATATGCGAGTTACAATTGTTTTAGAAAATCAGAACATAACTTAAAATAAAATGCAATGTAAAATCATATTCGATGGCATGACTTATTGACTACATTTACATTTGCAAAAGCACGCATTCAATAGCATTTAGAAAGTTTATTAATATCTACAACTCAATATGGAGGGGAATAATAAATATATCCTCCTTTGTTTGCAAATATTTGATGAAAAAGATCTTGAATTATTTAGGTGGCGTCTAAATTGTAGCCCACCTTACGAAAAATGCAGCCAAAAACAGTTCTTATAATGAGTGGAAGGCATCTTCAGATAACTAACGTTCTAATTTGTGTGTCTATATATATTGAAATTCTTTTAATAAAAAGACTGATGGTTAAAACCATAAAGAGGGCGATATGACTCTTCTTCGGAAGATTTTCTTGAGGAAGAAGACCTTCAAATTAACGAAATTGAAATCTCTTCGGAATCAGAAGCTGAAGATCTCTCTCCCAATGAATCAACACCTAAAATAAACGGGTTAACGAAAGAACAAGAATTTCTTTTAAATAATGCAGATCAGATAACTGATCCTGAAGCTAAGAAAAATTATCTAGATAGACTCCAGTCCTCTATGAAAATCACTCCAAGGTCAACACAACTTATAACTGCATAGATATCCTTAACAGAAACAAGAAATATTCAAATTAGACCAATCAAAATTCTTTTTATATATTGAGGGCGATAATGGTATCAGCAAATAATATTAGTTTTATTCCTACTTGAACTAATCCTATATGGTTTAAACCATCACAATGGTTAGTTTTGTATCTCCTAACCAATATCGCCCTTTGGATCTGGGGATCTATATAAAGAAATTATTTAAACTTAGAAACGTTTAACAAACTTATAGAGAGTTCGTTATAGATGTGATTTATACTAATCTGTTGAGGAAATATTCAAAGAAGTTTTCAATTGTCTAGAATCATTCATACGGAGACTTACTGAACATATTTTCTAGTCTTATTTAACGAAACAAATTGAAGTGATAAGATTCAAAAAATAAGAAATTTATGAAAAATTCAGTTGCAACTTTTAAAATAGTGGATATTATTGCCAAAGATAAAGATTATGTGGATATTGTTCCCAAAGAAAAAAAATTAATAACTCAAAAGTGAAAGTAAAAATTGAACAAAATATAAAGTTTTAATCTGTACTATAATACAAAGCAAAAATTTCCTTTTACTTTTAAGAATTTGGATCTTGTTTTGGCCGCATAGGTGAAAAACACTAACAATTAATGAGATAGAAAAGAAAGAAAAAGTACGTGAGTCTTTCCAAAGAAACCTTTCGTCACATCTCATTTCCCACTTTCCTAATTTCATAAGTAATGAACCATAGTCCAACTCAGTGCTGTCATGAATCGTCGTGCGTACAATCAAGGGCACCACGATCGACCGTCTCATCATTATCTCACACCTATTTGGACTAGAAAAAGGATTTTGGTGAAGATTTGAATGGGATGATGAGTGGGTGAACTTGATCTTTAAGGAGACTGTAGAATAGGGGATGTTGGGTTTAAAATAAGTGAACTTGATCTTTTAAGGAGAAGATGTGATTGCCCGCGACATTGAAAACTTACAGATTGGATCGGGAGTGAGGGGTTACGTGAGGCCTTTATATTCCCTAACCATCTTCAAGACTGAAAACAGGCGTTTAGAACAGATCGAAGCAAGCTCTCTGGTTGGCCCTTGGCGTTGCAAGAAAATTTAAGGAAGAAGACACGATGGAAGGGGGAAATTCAGATGGAGAATTTGAAGAGGTATTTTTTCTTGATTATTGCATAAGCTTGTGACGGTAGACTGATTTTTTTTACATTCAAAGTGCGTTATGCGAGTGGATTGAAAGTTGCATTCATGATTAGGAGAATGGGGCAGTTATTTTTGGGATTATATGATTGGAGATACCAAAATTTTGTTTTAAGTATCCAGTGTTTATGACAAATAATATATGACTTTCTTAATTGCATTAGTTTGTTCTATGGAATTAGAGGGACTGATGAAGATACCAAGCGATGCATAATGCATGAATGACACGTTCACACTTAAAACTAAAGAAATATCGTTCTATTTTTTATATATGTTCACGCAGATTCGTAAATGGAATGACTGTAGCCTTGAGGAATATAACTCTGAACTGGTAGTGTTGATTATATAACTAAACTCAACTATGCAAGAATACCTAGATTTTCACAAATCCTATGTATTTTGATATTATATATGCCACTGAATGACTTTGATAAGTTGCAAATACTTACTTTGTAGGTACCATTAAACACTTCTAGCGACACTAGTGTCAATCAAATAGACCAACTGGAGCCGATCGAGCACTCCAATCCTCAGGAAATCGAGCAATCCAGTACTCAGGGGATCGAGGACTCCGGTCCTCAGGGGCCCCCTCCGCAAGGGAGCCCTCGTCCTCAGGGGCCCCCTCCTGGCCGTCCTCAGGGGCCCCCTCCTCAGGGGCCCCCTCCTCAAGGGAGCCCTCGTCCTCAGGGGCCCCCTCCTGGCCGTCCTCAGGGGCCCCCTCCTCAAGGGAGCCCTCTAGGGAGCCCTCCTCAGGGGCCCTCTTCTGGCCCTCCTCAGCGGCCCCCTCCTCAAGGGAGCCCTCCGGGGAGCCCTCCTCAGGGGTCCCCCCCTCAAGGGGACCCTCCTCAGGGGGGCCCTCCCGGGAGTCCTCCTCAGGGGCCCCCTCCTCAAGGGCCCTCTCCTCAAGGGAGCCCTCCCGGGAGTCCTCCTCAGGGGCCCCCTCCTCAAGGGCCCCTCCCTCAAGGGCCCTCTCCTCAAGGGAGCCCTCCCGGGAGCCCTCCTCAGGGGGGCCTTCCTCAGGGCCCTCCTCAGGGCCCTCAGGCGTTCGCGATAGCCAATCCTCCAGTGAGCCCATACGGGAACAAAAACACCGTCAAATGTGCCGTAGGGGCATCAATTGCCTCTCTCTTGCTAGGCTTCGGTCAGTCTTCTCTTTCTCTATGCATGTGATGTTGTGAAGCATGGTGGACTCACCCTCTGATCAATTTTTTATACAGCGAATCAATTTTTTTTCCTCAAGCATGTATTTCTCTGAATCAATTTTTTATATAGCAAATCAATCTCTTACAACTTAATTCTATTGCAAAAATATTTATTATTATTTTATATCTTAGTCATTGCACTTTTTCTATCTAGCTTCTATTATTGAAATCATATATCTATCGTCAAAGGTAATTTTTAATGCGTAGGAAATGAGAAAAGGCAAAAAAAAAAATAGAATGAAAGAATAACGATTACTTAATTTCGTAGCCCGACAAGTTAATTTCAGATAAAGTCATCACACATTATTATATTATGAAAATAAATTTGAAATAAAAGGGAGGAAAATTAGGCACATAATTTTTTAATTTATATTTTTCAATTTCTTTTATATGTCTACGATTTATGTGGAACATCGTGATGTTAAAAAAATATTTTCTTGTTTTTTTTTTAATTTGGCAGCAATGGGAGTGGCGAGTGAGGCACTAGTTCACATAGACAAGGACAAGAGGATTACCGAGAGGCAGGTTGAGTACCAGGCGGTGCTCCTACACGTGATCTCTCTCTTCGGGTCGATAATGGCAGGGCGGCTCTCTGACCGGATTGGCCGCCGATACACCATCATATTGGCAGGGGTTTTCGTCTTCCTTGGGAACCTCCTAACAAGCTTCTTTTCCAACAACGCCTTAGTTCTGTCGGGCCGTGCCGTCACCCAAGTCGGTGTCAGCTTCGCCCCCATGATCGCTACCATCTACATCGCCGAGGTCTCCCTTGCCTCCTCCCGAGGTTTTCTGGCCTCCTTCCCTCAGGTACTCACTCATTCATCTTTTCCATCTATTTATTTGTTACTGAAAAAATTAAACTTAAAAAGGTGTGATTGCTTTTTTATACGTGGTTTCGGTTATTTAGTTGTCCATCAACTTCGGCACCATCCTTGGCTATGTCTTCAACTATATTACCTCCAAGTTCCACCCGACCTTTGGGCGACTTGCCATGCTTATCATGGGAGCAGTTTCACCAATCCTCCTCATCATCTTTGGGATCTGCGTCATGTTGGAATCTCCCCGATGGCTCGTCATGCGGGGCCATCATATCGAGGCACGGCACATCCTCAACAGGATCACTAGCTCCGAGGAGGAGGCCACCATCCAGCTCAACCGCATTGCGCAGGCTATCGGCATGACTGTGGAGAACAACAACAATGCCCAAGTCAACATGCAGAGTACTGGGGAGGGCGTGTGGCGGGATCTCCTCCTCCACCCAATCCCAATCGTTCGCCACATGCTCGCTTGCGCCATTGGGATCTACTTTTTCCAACAGGGCTGTGGCATCGACACTCTCGTGCTCTATAGTCCTCGTATTTTTGAGAAGGCCAAAATTACTTCCTCCAACACAAAACTGATCTTGACCATCTTAATCCAGCTTTTAAAGGTAGTGCCCATCCTTGTCCCCACCTTCTGCCTTGACAAGGTTGGGCGGAAGCGATTGCTGCTGATAAGCATCAACGGGATGATCTTTGGGCTGGTCTTCCTTGGAATTTCCCTTACTGTCCTTGACAATAGCGACACAAAGCCTCTGTGGGCTGTGCGCATGTGTATCGTCTCATTGTTGATCTGCGTGGGCTTCTACTCCATCGGAATGGGACCGATCCCATCGGTGTACAGTTCAGAGATCTTCCCGTTGAGGCTGCGTGCGCAGGGGAACGCAATCAGTGCCGGCTTCGGTGGGGTGATGGCAATAATCATCTTATATCTATATGAGTTTATCACCCTTGGTGGGGTCGCCTTCGTGTTCATGGCGATCGGGCTCTTGGCATGCTGGTTCGTGCGCCGGATAATGCCGGAGAGCCAAGGGCGGACGCTTGAGGAGATGCAGCAGATTTTTGGTAGTTTGAACTTGTGGAGGTTCCGGGTGGAGGCAATTGAAGGGCAAACGAACAGCGACGTGACAGCGCAAGGAGCTGACATTGAGGCTCAACCTTAATGCATCTACATTTAATATTGTGTCCAGGAATATCACATCTTATTTAGGTGGAAGTTAATTTTTGTCAAGCTTTATGATTTGTTTTTACATGCTTATCTAGCATTAGTATTTGGTATTAGAACTTCAAGTCCATTTTTATGATCTTCATTTAATTTAGTCTTCTTTATGGATGTTTGTATGTGTTCACTGCTGATCCGATCAAGGGTGAAATATGTACTTACTCAATGGTTCACTTTGGGATAGCTTTTGTCGTCTAGTTAGGCACCACAATATCCATGAATCACATGAAAACGTTATGAAAATAATGGCAGAAAGAATAGCTTTCATCATTTATTTGGGCGCCATGAATCCTGCTAGACGTTGTGAAGCAGAAAGAATTTTGTGGCAATAAGTGCTCTTTAACTGGCAACGAGCACATAATCTTTATTAACATCTCCACTTACTATTAGGTATCTCTTTTTTTCGTTGCTAATGCCAATGTCAGCCACCCTCCTTTTTTGGCACCGCCGTGGATTTGTCGCATATTATCATTGTGGAATTTAACCGAGATCCCCAAATACCAATTCATCTTCTCGGCTGTTACTTGTACATTTGTCTAGTGGAATTCATGAACAGGCGATATGGTTTTTTCTATCAAATTTTCTGCCTCTGGCTAGGGCAAGGATAACTATGTTTGATGCCATTGAAATGGACTTGTGGTCCTTGTAGGAGATTTTAATTTTAATTTCTTGGGAAGTTCTGAAGCTGCATGTTCCCTTCACATGCTGAATTGGCTTCTTAAAGCATGTTACGCTATAGAGACTTCATACACGTATTGGTAGCTGTTGCTGCTACCCTCACCCATAAATTAAGTGTGTTTTTTGTCGGAAACTTTGTCTACGTCATTCAATCCTGTAGGGAGTGTCCATCTGCTAGTGCTTTTGCCCTGCTTCTGAAATTTTTTGCTGGGACAGGTGGTAGTAGTCTCTCTCTACTATTCCAGGATGAACTGCTAGGTGTCGACTCACAGCATATGTTGCAACTCGATGATGCACCTCTGAAGCAATATGTCATTTTTTTTCAATCATACGTTGCTATATCGCAACTCTTGAGGCATGTAAACCTTGAGCTGTGTAGATGACTCGTTTGCTGATTAATCCACTATCTTTCATCGATTCTGTCACCTTGTTGTATCTTAAGTCCTTTACACCTTACCTCAAAGTCGGAATGTTTCTGTGGCTACAGTCCTATGATGTTCCTAGTCTAGTCTTTGGCTACATTTATAAACATTCCGATCATTGTGTAAGATGGAATGCTCCCACTCTCGTGCAGTTTTCTTCTCAACAGTTTTCTTAAACGAGATTGGTGTAGTATCTGGAACATAGTCCAGTAGGTCGTTGGATCTCTTAAAGGTTGGGTTGTTTTCCTTTTGTGCTGTGTAACAAATTTATGATCTTGAGGTACAACTTTTTCATGAATGTCGATGTCCTCGCTGGTCTTCGACAATTGTCGTCAGTGCTTACTTCTTGACATTCCTTCGTGCATTCATGTCAAACACTGACCCAAACATTCTCCCGAAGTAAGTTGATGTTTTTGTGCCAACCAAGCCTTAATCTTGTCTATCATTAAATGTGCCCCTGCCACCCAACACGAAACATTTCTTGTATTATCTTTTTACCATTGTTAATTTATAATCAAAATTTTAACGTCTCATGCATATGCGTGGACGTGGACGAAATCCTATGGCTATTCTTCTAGAACGTCTTCATTATGAGTCTTTCGCGCTATGCATAGCAGCATGTGGGTTTTTATGAAAAGAGGACATGTAACATAATTCCTACACTTCACCCAAAAACTTGCAAATAGCTTGGATCCTCCACTTGAGTCTACTGTGTGCCTTTCCTTTTGCTATATGAACAACATAGTCAGGTTTTTCTGATGTTTGAAGTGATTGTACACGGGAAGTACTGCCGAATGCACACCCAGCAGCCCGTGAGTATCATAATAAGCACCAATATCACCGACGGTCTAATGTGCATGAAAATGTTAAATTAAAGGAGGCTTGGTTGCTGTAGCAGTTTCCGTGGTTTGTCATTCTTGCAAGCGATCTCATTTTGAACAGGGAGGAAAGTTTACATTTGCCATTGCAGTGGGGTCCTCTCCTTTTTTGGAAAGTTGAATATGCCCCTGCACCCTGAAGTAATAGCGTAATTTCCAGCATATGATTATAGCATATGATTACATAACAAATCGTATTCCAAATTTAAGAAGTTGGAAATGTTTTTTCCACATATGAAGTTTCTCTACCACAGGTCGTCTAAGAATGGTTTTCAGAAAGACACAGAAGAGTAAGCTATCATAATGAAGAAATTCGGTGTCCCCTACATTGGAATTTGCAACCATTCATTTCAGAGTGTCACCGCCCCAAGGCCTGTGTCAAATATGCGATCTTCCTGAACCCAAAGTAAATGATTAGTAATTATTCACCTGCAACTCGACAAACAAACAGGCAGATCCACATGGATAGGCAACAAAAAAAAAAAAAAAACGTATGTATAGGCAAAGTACATTTAAATCTGCATAGAGCTGCACGTATGTGTACGTGCTTAGAGAGAGGGGCAGCACCACTTTGACAAATGTGGAAGAATTTCAAACAGATAACCCAGCCTTTTTCCAATTAGTAAGATATAGCAAAATCATACTGAATAGTGATCCTGAATTTATTAGCTCTTCCAAAGAAGGCAAAAGCATCATTCAGATTAATAAGCTAACCTCATTAAGCCCCTCTTACTAGATTAGGCTTCATGAAAATCTTCCTCAGGAAAAGAGAGGCCTGAAGATGTGAGACACTTCAGGTTAGAAGGCAGGCTGAAGAATTTTTAGTCCATGTCTACACAGCCCCATCAGACATGGCATCCCCTCTGATCCTAATATACCCAGTACCATGGTGCTCTCTAATTCACCTTCGTCACTCTAATTCCTCGGCATAACCAACCTGCTTTTTCATTTTTCCAAAGTTACTCTGAGACCCCACCCAGGTAGCAGTGCAAGAAATTTTTTTGTAGACAACAGTCTTGCAGAAAATTACTAGTCTAGAACCTACAAGCAAGTTGCAATAACAAAATAAATGAATTTATCAAAACTACCACAAATTTATTAGTATACTAATAATTCCGAAAGATGATAGCATAAACAAAATGGAACAATCTATTGAAGAGCAGCACCAAGATATACTCGTACGATTAAATCGCATAGGTAAATTATTTAGAAGGCAGTCTCAATTCCAAAAAAAATATATACCAGCCATGACACTACAGTTTCAAATGCTCAATGGCCAATTGTTATCAGACACTGGGAGACTGCGGGCATATGATTGGGCATTTTCGGGTATGCACAGACAAAACGGAATGCATTTCTATTAGAGGTCAAGGTTTTGCTTCCATTGAGGATGCCACCATTGCTACTAAATCGTATAATTTCTAAAAACGCTACTGCAAGAAGATATGTGGCTATTACACCTGCAAAATAAGTGACAAAAAAGGTTTCAGATTGAGAAATTTTACATTGAAGCTGAGGAACAAAAATCAGTATAAGACCCAAAAGTTAACTACATAATGGAACGGACAGACTATCCTAACCTGAAATTGTGCTCATTCCTCCAACATCTACTTGCCCTCCCAAAGCAGCAGAAAGAGCAGCGCTGTGGGTTACAGCAGCTTTCACGTTGCCACTCTCTCTACGACTACCAGGGTTGTGGAGAGCATTAAATTCCAATTCATCTTCAAGCCATGTCACAGAGCTAACTACCTGGAGAGCAAAGTAATTCATTTAAAAAATTTGAACGTTGTTCAATTGCCAAATTTACTTGAACTATCGAAAAAGTTTCAATCAGGTAAAGCAGTTGATCTTAGTAAGAAAAGACCAGGAAATGCATTTATCCGAGGAAACCAGAACTGCTAAACTTTACACTTTTGAGAAAACTTAGCCTATGTATATGAAAGAGGTCCCACAAGGCTACAATTAATCACCTGACATTATAATATTCTTGCAGATAGCATTAATCATAAAGACTTTACTGTTGAGCAAATACTCTGTGGAACTAAAAACATTTGAAAATAGTGACTTGCCAGATTCAGTAGTTTATGATTGGAGTTAAATCCTTTTCAACATCGGGTTGGGCAAGGCCTCCACCGAAAGTCTCAGACTGAGTGCTCGGGCTGGGCCACAATTTTGGCAAAAGCCCACGTGGCCCAGCCCATGCTCACCACTATCTCCAGCAATATATCGCTTTCTGGTAACCCCAATTTTACATCAAAGAAATTACACTCTAGACTCTGAAAAGCCCCTAAGTTTCTCTCCCTCCACGTTCGCCAAAAATTTGATAGACGGGTAGCAGCAAGTGTCAATCTCTTCCCTTTGTCAATCACAAAACAAATTCCTTTCAAAACCCAGAGTTCAAGAAGCCTCAACCCAATGAATGCTTAAAAGTCCCAATGCAGCATTCACCAGTTGTCTCACTCCACTGCAGTATGCTGACTCAGATGCTGTTACACATAAAGCACCTATTTACAAGCTAAAACCTCTGTTTTGAAATTTGTCAGTTCCAAGTACTTGATCATGCCGAAAAAAAAGATTTCCTACTTCTCTGCAGGGCCTTAATAACAGCAAAAGCAAAATATATATGAACAGGGGAAGATGTTAACGTCAATATAGAAATGGAAATTCTTGCTTGTGAAAATCTCTCTCTTTTATCAGGAGAGTCGTCAATGGAATGAAAATCAGTCTAAACTTGCAAAGCATAATATATCACATATAAACAAGTGCTTCAGAAATGTTTGGCCTCTTCATTTATTGAGCGAGTACTTGTCTAGTGGGAATGCCAAGGAACTCATATATGGATCATCCAACATCGTCGTGTATTTTTACTGTCCATCATTAATAATTATTCAACGCATATCAATATAGATAGAAAAGCAACAAAAGATCCAGCTATACTGCAGGAGAAAAAACTTACAGGATCACAAGAGCTGGCATCCATCTGCAACCTAATTGCAGCATTCGGGGTCCTTTATGAAATAGCTCCCAATGTCAGTCAATGACATAATAGGAGCTATTTTGGGTAACTGCGAGCATGATTGTTTCTTGTGATGATAAAAGTAAAATCTAGAGCCGTTTTTGGTAATCCCCATATCATCAAGACAAACTATGAATCATAAGAAAGGTTGTGCAGGCAAGAAAAAAATTTGTAAGATGAACTTACAAGGGGAGGAGTCCCTTGTGAAATTTTCTGGACAGCAGCAGACCGCCGTGCATTCCACATGTACGGTACACCCACAGCCTAAAGAGGAGTTGCATTTATGCTTCCCATACTAGACCAAAAAGAGCTATATAGAACCATAAGTTCCGAAATAACTTCAAAAGAGATGGTTCCACGTCTATCGAGGGATTAAAGTCGGTACATATCTCAGCAACAGCAGGAAGTAGAGGGCCCAAAAGATCTGCTCCACTCCTACAAGAGCACAAGAATCACCAACAACTCCCCAACAATTGGAATACAGAAGAACAAAGGTCTCATTCTATCAGCCATCCTTACCGTTGCTTTCACAATAAAAAAGAAAGCCTTTTCTGGAGCGCCATACCAATGGTTTCACTTTGTTTCACCATTTTTTCGACCAGGTAAAGATAGAAACCATACAAAAAATAGAAAAAGAGTTTCAGTTCTGACAATGGCTTCTCACTATTATCCCAAAGCTGTGATGTTAATCACAGTGGTGTCTAGCAATTTAACTCTTAAGAGTTGTGGTAATAACAAATTCCGATCATATTTACAAATGAGGAAAAGCAAACACACAAGCATATCTTACAGCGTGTTAGATACAACAGAGAAGCTATTCTATTCCCCATCCCCTCCTGATGGGATAATTAATCCAACAGGTCATTGAAAAATATATCAAGAACAACTATTCCATCAGAATGGCTATGCCTATCCCTTGGTCCCATGTGAATAGCAAATACGACAAAAATAAAGGTCTAAACGTATCATTTGTAGCACAAACCTATACTTCCTTAAAATGCAACTGACAACTGCTTCTCTCCCTGATTTTAAGGTAAAGCACATCGGAACACTTTTTGGAAGAACTATCAAAAGTAACTAAAAAATATAATGTTGCATCAACTATGTAGGGCACAAGGCCTAAACTATTTATAGTATGCTACCGGCATATATATTTTAAGGAAAATGATACCTTCCCCTTTTGCTCTCCACTGCCAAGCCTACATCTGAGCACAAAGATAGCAGACGGTGACAGTAATCTGTATGCAATTTAGTAATTGTAAGATGGCTAGCAATCAGAAGAAACCCAGGAGAAGAGTCAACAACACCATGGAATAAGTTGAAATCCATTTAGTAAATCACATCCTAACGTTACAAACTCGACAAATTATCCTAGTACAACTTGCAAAGAATACTAAGGGAAACCATGCAGACGTCAACACGTTCCGTTGTGGCTTCCCAGGCCAATGTTTCGCTTCCAGCAGACCCTAAACTTGAAAGCCAGCCCAAGTAGCTTCTTGTCATCAAAACCACGGTCTCGCAAAATGACTTCTCAAAGTCTATACTTGCTATATGAGACACAGCATCAAGCAGCTGCAGCAATAGGCAGAAGAAAAGTTTGAGAAACTAGGCTACTGAGGAAACCTTGCAGTTTTATAAAGCAAATTTATGGGTAACATTCCAATTACATAAGAGCAAATAAGAGCTCTAAAGGAGAGGTCCGCACACGAATCTGCAGTAAACCAGCAGTTGAAGCATTGCCCTCTTCTAAACTTTCAATAAAAAGTGGCAGTATCATATCCACAACTTCAGACTTCCTAATTGCAACACTCAAATCTACTACTGTGCATATTAGGTTAAGTTGCACAACAGGAACCGCCTGCTTCTCCTTTCCACCCTGAAATTAGTAAATATTGCATACAAATGTAAGCAAATATAGTTCAAATTGAAAAAGGAAAATTTAAAAATACCAAAAGAAGTACTACACTGAAGAACTGGTAACTGACATTGCGAGGTAAGATCTCCACAATGGGAACTTGGGCACTTCTAGAGCATTATCAAATTATACAGTCATAAATCAGATGAATAGCACAATAAAACTCTAAGCGGACTCCAACCTATGAAACCCAAATATTTCAAGGAGAACATGCTCATATCTTACATAAAAGTATTATCCGGCAAATATCGACTAAGTATGTACGAGATGAGTATGTTCTCATCAACAACTCACTGATATTCATCCAACCTGTTCATCGTAATCATTCCTATCCCGGACACTTGCTGCTAATCCCATGATAAAAACAGTTTATAGGAGCCCGGTCCTTGTTCCAGCCATATTCAATCACTTCACAGCTTGCCTTCATTACACTCTCAACCATGGCTACTGGCTCATGCATCAGCCTGCCACAAATCGTAGTCCCAGAAAAAGGATTATATGGATGAACACATGGATTAGATTCAATTGTGAATTGATGATGCTAACAGGCATCATTCCTTTCTTAAACGCACCTGAGCACATGCAGTCGGTACAAGGAGCTTGAGGCGAACGAGCAAAACTCATAGCGGCTGTCCACCCTTGGTGACAGCAATTTGAGTCATCCCAGTAAGCAAAGCACAGAATAGACCTTCGCAGAGACTCAATTTTCTCAAGCAAGATAGTAAACATGCCTCAGCAGCGTCAGTGAATAATACAAGAGTCTCAAGCCAAAACTTCTTTACAGCTTTACCATCCAAATCAAGAGACGATAAGCTCTTCATCTTCAATCTTGTGATGGCTTGATAAACTGATAGTTTTAAATTGATCCTGTCCAGTCTGGTCCCGCTTTTCTTGTCTGTGCGCGTAACCAACAAGTCAGCAATTGGCTGCTTCAGCTCTCAAAATATGTCAAATTTAAGCTGGGAACCTATAGCTAGAGCAAGAACTCAACCCTGAAAGACCGCCCAACTACTTCTGCCAAAAAGACCATCAAAATATCTATCTTTCGATTCGACTCCATTGTTCTTGCAGACAAGTTACACTTTATAATGGAAACATTATAAGGACCAAGAGGCCGCCATTTACCAGAAGAAGATAGCCTCCGGAAAAGCTTTGGAGATGGCGGCATTGTCTCCACTGCAGCTCACTGCCGCGACCGCATTGTCTCTGTCTGGTGAAGGCAGCGATCTTGGCGGCGAAATCCGGCGTATCGGCCAAAACGAGACCCGTCCAAAGAGGAGGGAATCAAGCGCAGGAACTCGATAATGACCGAGTATGGCCGGTGATCAGACAGACTTCAGACTTGGCGAAACCCTACGAGAAATGGCCTCGGCTGGGGGGGACGTGTCCAAAAATCCTCGCTAGTTCAAACTCCCGCCGAGTGAGGGAAACAATTTTAACATAAATTTTAGTTAAATTAAATTATATATATATACCAGCGTCGGTGGAGCGGCAGCGTCGGCCATTGGGGTCACCAGGCAAGGGCCTGCAAAATCAGGAGAGGGCGGCTTTCCTCTCCCGTCGCCAGCCCTCGCACAGGGCCCGTCACCCTTGCCTAAATTTGAGAGAGGGCCGCCGCCCTCTCCCTCTGCTAGCCTGCGCCTCTGGTCGGCGAGGGTTACCAACCCTCGCTGAGGCGCCAATGACCCTACCAATCATTGCCGCCGCCCCAACGATGATGGGGCTGTGGCCACGGGCAGGAGGGCTGGTCATTTCCTTTGTGCCTTAACCCTCATACATTATAAATTGCAATGTCTTTTTAATTGATTACTGGGGAACACCCGCTAGCCTGTTCTTTTGACAATGCATCATTATATTTTTCTTGTCCATTACTTATTTAGATTCACATAGATAATTCCATTTACAAAATTAAAAATTCTTCAAATTTTTATTTTTATTAACGACAAAAATGCACTTTACCTCGTGTGAGTTTAATCGAATTTTCAAAAAAGAAGAAAACTTTCGGCTTATATTTCCACATTAAATTCGCGCCTTCCCCTCCCAACCTATATCATGGCTCCACCACTACGACAATATTGATGTGCTCAGCCGTGCTAAGTTTATTTCCTAGTAGATTAATATTCGCTTATTTAAAATACAACATACTCTGTTAGAAATTTTCATTCACTGCAATTAAAAAGTTACGGAAAGAAACATTGCTTATCTATGAATATAATTTCGACCAAAAAGAAAATCTATGAATATAATCAAAGCAAAAAAATACTTTTGAAAACAATTGCTAAAAACTGGAATTTGGGCTTCCACATGCTTCTTATTCCAAGTTTCGTTGATTTTGTTGACTTGGCAATCTGCGCAAATGTTTATATACAAATTATTATTGATAATAAAAAAAAACATTTGCCATTGACTAATCATTTCAAGTGATATAAGTGATTATTTTAAGGAAAATATTTTTCATATCACTCATTTTCCACGTAATAAACGGAGTCTGAATGATGATTTTCATTGCAGCTTTACCCACAGTTATGTTCCGGAACGTAAATGTGCATAATAGTTTTGAATATAGTAATTAGACTTTCATTGTAGTCCAATTGGATTTAATTTAAGACCCTAAGAATTTCTTTTGATATATTCGATTACACAGCATTTCTTTCTCGACGTAATTCCGATAGACCCGCCATTTAAAAAAAAAAAGTTCACTGTGTAGAGGTGTTCGTCGAGCTAATCCTTCGATTCTTATAATTTCTTCTTGTCCAAATGCAAGTGTCCAAAGGTTTCCCAAGTCCAGAATGAGGTGCTGGTCCTGTCAACGCATGGGAAGGACAAGGACCCACGAATTCAGAGGTCGTCAGGCATCACTACCCTCTCTCCTCAAATTTTCATATTGAAACACCCTCTATTATGTGGTTATTACTTCAATTGCCGAGACGGTGTGAGTTTTTATTCAGTTCATTCAAAGGTATAGATGAGTTGGATTGAAAAAAATGAGAGATAAAGTGCACCGTGAGTCATAAAATTTGTCAAGCAATTGAATAGTAAAACTTTCAAAAAGTTCAATCTAACCCTACAATTTCAAATTTGTACAATCAAATTTTTCCGTTAACTTCATTTAACTTGATTAACGGAAAATGCTAACACGACTTTTTTTTTATTATTTTTGCTCTCCTACGTTGCGCTTATATTGTTAAAACATGAAGGACAAGGTCAAAATGATGCCCCTTTGGTCCAAATTTGATTTTTTAAATCAAATATTATTTAAATTAGAGTAAACAAAAGCCAAATTATTAAAAATAAAATAACAATAGAGGGCAAGGCCCTCATCATTGCTAGGGGTGATCGGTTCCCACCCTAGAATCAAGAACTGCATATTAAGGACCGATTCTGAAAAATGGAAACTGAAAACCACCGGTTGGTTCCATTGATTCACCAGAAATCAAATCGCCGGCTCGGTCTGTTCCTGAGTGGGTGGAAGGAATAAAACTAAATTTTTTTCCTAATATATGTTGTATGGATGCCACACTGAACATGCGATCAGATGCAGACCTTGTGGTCCCAGTCACGAGTGGTCCAAATCTTGCGGAGGTTGGGGTTGTGCGTCTTGTTGAGCCGGTGTTGGATGTAGGCGTTGTAGGCAGGCGCCGGAGGAGTGTTAGGAAAACCTCTTACTAAATTTTGAAATTAACAAAACTATCCATGAGTATTTTTTAAGTCTAATAAATGCTTTGAAGTATTTTGATTCAGGAAGTTATCCTCAAAAGAAAAGCATACTGCAAATTTATTACTTCAAGAGGTTCGGACTTCATATGACAGAAGAAGAAGTTCAAACTTTATACTGCAAAAAATAGAGTTCAAACTTTGGACAAGCAAATGAAGAATTTCAGACTTTACAATGGAATCGAAAGGTTCAGACTTTAAAGAATAACCCATCATGTCATAAGTTCTCAATGCAAGACCAGATCATATGGATCCGGACTATATCCAGACTTTGATGCAAACTCAGAATGTAAATAACAACTCTACGTTAATTCAGGTGCCCTAGTCAGAAGAGACTTCATGAGGGATGTAGCGTAGGCTTAGTTCACAGGTTAAGGAAGGAAATGATCGTTAGGCTCAAAAATGTGTGTAAGGGTGAGAATCGGTGATCATCTTGGCATTGTCACCAGTCTTCTTCTCCACCGTCAGGATCCTCTTGGAAAACTCCTTGGGTAATCCCGTGCTTTGGCTTTTTGGACTTTTGTCCGACAATTGCAAATTTGCTTAGGGATACAAATTCCTTCGCCCCCCTTTTTTTCATCGTTCTTCTTCTTCTTCTTTTTTTATGGGCATTGGCCTTTGCTTTCACCAGGCGCACTACTTTTTCATGCCCTTAATCTTCATTGATTTCATCATTTTTTACTGTTTCTTTTGGTGTTGTCAGGACTAGCCTAAACAAGTTTGAACAGAACAATATTATTAGGCTCTTGGAGTCTTCATCTTCATTCGATACTTTGGATCATAATGCTCAAACTTTGGTGACTTTTGCCTTGTCCCGGTATGGGGGATGATAACCAATTGGGTTCATACGAAATGAAATTGCTGGCTTAATTGGGTTAGCAAGGGATATAAGTGTATGGGATAGAAGAAGAACTGCTCTTCATCATCCTAGGGCACTTAAATCATCATGAGAGTTCAATTGCAATAATAACACTCAAAGATTAATGCAAGTGAGAGCAAGAAAAATTATATTCATTTTTCTCACCTTGCGCTGCAGACTTACCTCCAGTTGCCCCAGTGTGGGGTGATTCTTGACAGGGGTAATTCAGAAGGAACCTCTAAGTGTATGGTCTCAAAATGGTTAAGCAAAGGATCAGCGGTAGTATATGGGGCAAAGAAATGAACTACCTCTCATCATTTTGGCTACCGTAACTTATGCGAGAAATCCATTTACCATGCAGACATGGAATCTTTTCACTCGTCTTGCTAGGGATTAGTACATGGGGATGTGTATGGACTAAGGATTACCTTTTGTCATCCTGACACATCTCATTCAGCATACCCAAGTAGTTCGACACCATTTATCGAATTGTCATCTTAACAAATTTTCACATGGAATTGGTGAATTAAACAGGTAAAATTACCATACAAATTTCTTTCCAAGAGGCATGCGATGCATTTGGGGAGTATTAAGCATCTATTCGCTTTAAAATTTCCTTTTTCCTTGATTCTTTCTACTCTTATGAAAAGAGTTCTAGGGAAAGAAATACTTACCTGTGTTGCAGCGGCGGTGAGGCAAACCTGCAAGGCAATAAGAGAGACCATGTTAATGAATGGCTTTTTAAGGGATAGGAATTGGGAACTATACAACATTACCCTTCATGGCTCCCTTCATTTGAGATTAAGCTAATGACTCATTGAGCTTTTTTCGGATGTTGACAATTCCTGTTGACAATAACATGAGCTCATGTTAGGAATAAAATGATCGAGGGTAAATTGAGAACGATACCAAATTACCCTTCTTCCATTTCGCCTTCAAAGCTAGCAGAGTCTTTTCTTTCAAAACTCCTTTTTGGTTGGTTTTGAAGCTTAAATGAAATCCTTTATAATTAAGGGTGCTTCCAACTAGGTGGTCCTATTTTTGGCGCATTCTATGTCAATGCTGTCTCGGCACATTTAAGGAGCTTTTCAGGAATCCTCTGATTCCTGACTAGACAGGGCATGCGCAATTGCTTGCATGAGGATCTTTGCAGCAAAGCTAATTTCTACTTTAAATGTCTTTGACTGATATGGGCGTGACTATCGTCGAAACTTCCATGATTGTCAGGATTAGCATTGGCGCCATTTTGTCATATGTAAAGTCCTTTCTAGTTGCTTATGGTGGATCTTTACTCAAATTTGTCCTACATAAAAGGAAAAGGATATGTCATTTTTACGCTAAAGTGGATGAACTTTTAGGAACGAAATACATCATTTTTTATGGACTGGGGGATTGCGTGCCCCTACTCTATTCTCCCAATTAAACGCTTCCTACATTTTAAGGAAAAAACACATTAGTTGTTTGCACAAACTCGGGCTAGGACAAGGAATGAGATACATCCTTTTAGTATTTTGTCATGTTTCGTTCGAGAAGTCCCAACATTTGTGCTCTATTCGGCTTGCTAGCATGTCAGGGTCTAGCATGCTCATCAGTTCGTCACATGTAAAAGAAAAGGGATGGAATGTCATTTCCAAAATTTATTAAAGAATAAGACATACCTTTTTCTTTCAAAAGGGATAATCTCTTATTAATTTGCCCCCGACTTTCTTGTACGAAATGATGTTCCGCTCATCATAGAGTCAAGGAATGCTCAATATTCTCTTAAACTCTCTA